TTATAGCATTAGAAGGAAGGAGGGGTCTTACCTGTACTTAGTGATCAGCGTTCTTGGATTTACTAGCAGCGACGTTTCAACCTGAGAAGCTAAAAGGCTTCATTGCTCACCGAGGAGGATGAAGTGTGAGCAAAAAGCCACGAGAGGGAGCTGTTGGAAGCAGTAAAGCTGTCGGGTTTCTCATTAAGCAGCGTGTAACTTTTAAAAGGCACTCAGCAAAAGATGGTTAAACTTTCAGAGGCTCAGAGCATCTTTGAAATAAAGTTTCTTCTGGGAGGGAACTCGCTTGCAAAGTCAGAAAAGGCTATTGAAAAAAACCCCAGAACCCCACAATGAAAACTGGTGTGAAGCTCATTTAAAGAGTCGTGTATTAAAAAGGAAATTTTCACTAGATACCACAATGCCTATAATTTTAAGGTCAAATGTTTTAATTTCTGCTTCCTTTATATTTATTTCAAGTAGTAGAATACATTACATAATACAGGTCTGATGTCATTTTGCTGCTGAATATGAACATAGGAGTGTACAGGGGGACAGACCTGCTTAGATCATTTGGCTGAAGCCCCATGGTAACAGCTCCGTTCTCCGCTGGTCTCCCTTGCAGTACCTATTTCTCTGTACTGTTAAGAGTCCTCCATTGGAAAAACTCTGCATGTTTTTCAGAGTTCAAGCAGGAATTAAACATGTATCTGAACTCCTAGCTAGTCTTAAAAAATGAATGTGGCAGTAAATGGCTCAAGTCATGTCAAATATATAGGGCTAAACGTGGATATTAATTATATAACCAGAGGGACTCAATTTACTTTGTAAAGCAATTAGAAGAAGACAGAAACTTACAGTCTGTTTCTGGAAAAGAGTAATGTCTGTTTAAATATAACTTCCTAAAACCCAAGTTTTAAAACAGTAAAATTTAGCTTCCCCTTGCAGTTTATTCTCCTTGGGCAGGTTAGGGCAATGAAAGAGGCCTGTGTTCCTGTGGACAGGTTTTAGGAGGTAGAGGGTTCGATTTTTTTAATATAGAGTACAGTTTAATATTGCTTTGGATTATTCTAGTAGTCTGCCTCTTTTTTTTTTTTTTTTAAATTATTTCTTGCTTCAGGATAGGCAAGGATTTCTTTCAGACAGTTTAATCAGAACTGGAGTTTGTTCCTATATCCATAAGCACAGTAAGTCTGTATGAAAACTTCATTAACCTAAATCACCTGCTCCAACAGGCATCCTGATGGAAAGTTAGGGTATTCTTGGATACTTTACTGCATTTTAGTTTTGCTTTGAGTGGCATTCATAATAGCCTCTTCTTTAGCCTCTGAAAATACCATTGAGTGATCTGGACCCAGCGGTCAGTGAAAGCATCATACCTGTTCAGGCCGGTAAGTCACAGGATCCATCCCTCTCTCTCTGCCTCCTGGCTGGACAGAATGCCAGGATCAGACAACTTCAAATATCTACTGGTGCGCCATCTTCAAAGCAGTGCGATCAGGTAGACAGAAAGGAAAGCAACAAGACTTTCCCCACATCACTCATGAGGTCTTTGCGCTTCAGTGTTCACCCTTCATAAGCACTTTAGAAATCAGCTTCTAGCAATGGGCTAAGAAAATTATGCTACTTTTTGTCTTCAGAGAATAGCACAGCATCAAAACTTCTGATCACCCTTTTTTATTGCTAATTTGATTTAAATTTATTAGAAAGAAACAGCATATTTAGTTGGTCTACTCAATACTGCACTTAATTATTCCTTCTTCCAGGAGTATCATGCTTTAAGTTTTTCTGTGACGTTTTCCCCTCTGCCCTGTTGTGAATGTGACTACAGTGGGATTTACAAGAAGAAAGAATTTAATGCATACAGACATGACAGCAGAAAAACGAGCTGAGGTTGTGTTTGTCTTGTTTATTTCAAAACTATAGTGAGAAAGAGCTTCAAAAACCACCTGAAAGCTCTCTGAGAGACAGCATTTGTGAGCCAGGGGCTATTACCTTTATACTTCAGTAGAATCTCTTTGCTTTTACGTCACTCTTTCTAAAGTAAAAACAAAAGTTGAAGACAGGGAGAAAAAAGATCAATTCTGAGTGCCCTTCTCGGGCAAAATTTTACTGAGATGAGAAAGTTCATATAAACAAGGAGTTCCAGACATGACAGCAAGAAACTTTTAACTCTTGTATGACAATCTCAAAATCTTTTGGTGAGAAATGATGGGGCCATATGCTGAAGCAATCTGTGGCAACACAAATAGAAACATTTCCCCTCTCTGCAATGAGTTTGATATGCTCTAGGTGATGTCACTGTCAAGGGTGAGCATCAAACATCAGCTATATCATTTATTTTGTTATGCAAGCAGGGTTCTTGCTTGCATTTTCAAATGTGGCTGAGCCAGTAACATATTACCTTCACTGTTAAAACTCCAAGAACACTTAGCAATATATATGTGTCTTCTAAGTATCTTTATTTTTCTTCAAAAAGCCTTCACTTTTTAAAAAATAGATACTAACAAACAAGGAGAACATATACCTGCTTTAAAATTTAATTCCTTCCCAAATTCTGCACTCATCTGCACTTACCAGCAATAAAAGACAAGTGAAATCCTGATCCTATGAACATCAAATTATGTCTATACTGGGTGCTAGAGTACGCTTAAGTCTAAATGCATCCTGCAGCTGTTTCAGCTGGTTTTCAGGTAAATGCAACCTAGCACATGGGCCAGAAGACAGCCACTTTGTGTTCCAACACTTATCCCATCTGGACAAAACAGGAAGGAAAACTGTGGGGTATACTGCAGATTCCACCTATCTGGAAGTCCATGTTCCCACTAATATGAGCAATTGGAAACTAATTAGCTTCTCTGTGGCTGTTCTGACAAATTTTTAAAGGATGAAGAATTTTTTAAAAACTTCTTAACTGTTAACAGTGAAAAGGTACATGAAGGCTTCTTCAATGTGTACATGAAACACAGCTAGAGGCTCTCTTCTGTGCAGATGTCTGATTCCCAGATTTACTTTTTCTAATTTGAATTCCAGACCTGCATGGTGCTTCACTTTTAGAGTAGTCAAAACAAAAAGTCTGTAGCTTTATACCACAGTAAAGAAAAAAACCCCAGCATTAATACACCCATCTTATATCCAGTTTATTTAATACCATAGCAGTAAATACAGATAAAGAGTTCTCAAATGTGGCAATACTAGAGCTGACAAAACACAGCTACCTGACAGATCAACAGTCTATTAGTAGTTCTAGAATTCCATGTGTGCTGGAAAGCAGAAGGGTGTACATTGGTCTTCAAGTTCAGCCTTATAGATAGTGACAATACAGTTAAATACACTACTCCTGATATGGCAGAGCAGCATCTGCATAGAAATAAAGCAACACTGTGCCTGTCAACAACGAGAACTATATTCCAATATTTGTAGTCTTAAAACAAATGAAACAAACTATATTTTCCTTAAAAAAAGGAAGTGATCTTTGGTCAACACTTATTAAAATGTGCTTTAGTTTTATTTTACAACAGCAATGCTAAGATTATATAGCTTTTTTATGTTATTCTATGGGGTTGGGCATTTGAAAATCAGTATTCTGCTGTAACTGATAAAGGTAATCTCACTAGCTTCAATACAGGTAAAATTTCGAGCAGAGGTAGGCTTCAACTCAGCAACTTAGAAAGACTGAATACCAGCTGTCCTCTGGAATGGGCAGGAGGCAGTAATTCATCTTCAGGTCGCTTCTCTTCCCTTCTAAAATTTCTGTATGAGCACAGCACTTTCAAACACACTGGGCTGAGCCCTTACTTCGTTAATTCTACAGTAAGAGCTCTGAATGTCAGTTGACAACAAATTTAGGCCCATCCGATGTTTAGTGTCCACATTTGAAAAGTGTAGCTAACACATTCCTTAGTGCTCTCTCAAGTGGCATTTCAATACCATGGTGATGGATGAGTTGTGAAGACATTGGTCCTTAGGAAAAACACTCTGTGCAAGTTGGGAGCACGGGTCTTACCAGCAGGCTGACCTTTAAATCCAGGCAGACATCCTGAAGAACTTGTGCTCTTCACCAGTCCATGTGCTTTTCAGGCTTCCACTCCCATCTAAAATTGAACAGGTACACCCACCTTACAGGTAAGGACACTTTGTTACAGTCCACAAAAACTGCTCTGTGAAAGTCATCAGCCCAAGGTGTGATGCTGGCCTGACACTGGCCCTACCCATAAAATTATGTATTTCACTAAACAATGACCTTGCCAAAACAGCCCAATGCTCAGTGGCTAACATTTCGCTAACATTTCAGTTCCCACCCTCCTCAACCTTCTCTACTTTCTTTCATCACTCAAAAAAACAAACAAAAAAAACCCCCACAAACCTGAAACAGGAGACAATACTGCTTTGTTTATCTGCTTCCCTACTTCTTGGGCCTCTGTGAGGCAGCTTTGCAGGTAAATGCCTTTTGTAGATTTGGTGTCCGAATGTTTAATTTATATGAATTTCAGCAGGTGTCAGGCAGCTTTAGGCACACAAGGATCTGAAACATCCTTCCTTGAGTTAAATATAAATACACTGTCACCTACAGCAGCAGTATTTTGCTTTTCTTTAGTGCAAGTGTTCTTGCACAAAAAAACAACTACTTCTCAGAATTCTGAAGTAAGATTTTGATCAGCAAGGTGGAGTTTATTGGAAATAACTGCTTACACTTCAGTCACACCTAGAAGCTCTATCCACAACCAGGCTGGTGTTGAATAAATAGACTAAAACTTTCTTCTGAAGAGCTTATGAGATAAAGGGTGAGAGGAGCATCTTAAGTGACATAGCCCTAACACAGTAAATCTGTAGCAGAACTGGACACAGAAGGTCAGGTCTTCTAGGCCTAGACCCTGTCCACTTGACCACACTGTCTCCTGCCTTTGGTTTCTACTGTCTTACTCCTCTAGACACTGACCTTTGGAGGAAATTGACTGAATCCCAAGAGCTGCCTGTGCTCTGTTATTTCAGCTTATTCCTACTTCAAGACTAACCATCTTTTAGACAGATTTCCTTCTCTTTCCAAACACATTGTTGATTAACTTGGCCATTGACTTTGATCCACTTGGTCGTCTCTTTTCCTTCACTTTGAAATTTGAGGTGATATTCCTCAGGACTTTTGTGAACATTGCCACAACTTCCTGATAATGTTCTGCTGCAGACAGTTCACAGAATTGGCATTTGTTGTCCATTGCAAGCTTTTGTCCTTCATCCCAGCCAACTTCCCTCATGTGGCATAAATCCTGTTTATTACCAACCAAAAATACCGATGACTCGACCATTCTGAAATCAAAAAGGTTCCGATTAGAGAAAAGGTATGTCCCAGTGCTGTGCTGTATGCTGTGTGAATGTGTATGGAAAGCACGTACGTTCAGGACAATAGGCATTGCAAAAAACCCAGAAGAACAAACCAACCCCCTAACCTTGCCAGGTAGAATTACAGTCTTACATTTGCCATAGTCAAATGTCAAAGGATTTTCTAGACAAGCTGTTCTCTATCAGTAAGTTTTCATTTGGTCCCTTTACTCAGTGAATTAATGTATTTTTCATCCACTGCAGTTTTCATACTCTATACTGCTGAGTATATTGTCAGCTCATGGACTTCATGAGGAAGCTAGCTGATCAGTATCTCCATTTGTAAATAAAAGAACAGTTAAAGAAATGCATCAGTAGCATAATTCAGAAGAAAACACTGGAATCCTAAAGCCAAGCTTTTGCTAAAATTATTCCTTCCAGAGAAACCTCAGCAGTAAAAACAGACAGAAAAGTGTTGTGGGTTTTTGTTTTTTTTTTTTATTTTACTCCTCTTCTGATACAAGGAAAGGATTTCACTCTCATTTATTTAGAAAGCACCTCAGCTGACTGATGCAGGAATATACACCACCACATGTACTCAGACTTGCAATTTTGGTGGTTCTTTCTGAAAATAAGTTTGTTTCTTACCATATGGTCACCTATGTGCACAACTAATGTTGGGGTCACCACAAAGGCTGTTTAGACATTCATGGTATTAGATTCATTTATTGTGGGAAATGCTCTCTCTAACCCCAACCCCCACATTGGTGCATCTCCATTGGTAATAGAGTGGGGGAGTAAAAGCATAGACTGACTGTGCCAACTTTTTACCCATGTAAATCACTGCAGACAGATTTATGGCTATTATTTAAATAGTAGTGCTGTAAGAAAGAAGAACAAAAATCCTGATGTGCTTGGCTTTGGATACAGTGAAATAGATTGCAATTTGCGACACAGTTTACCTTCAGGTACCTTACTGTTAGTATTGCGTTATGTCACTAGGATGCTGCTGGATTTTAATTGCTACTAGGAACGCCTACAGCTCACAGAAATGTTCTCAGCTTTTTTTGTGTGTTTGCTGAGAGAAACAAAAATAATGCCACTTACTTTTTACAGGCTCCTATGTGAGACTCTCGGATCCTGTACAGCAATGCTTTTGCAAATGCAAATGATGCTCTGTCACTGATGTCGTAAACAATGATAAATCCATCAGCCCAGTGGAGCTCGTCTGTGAGGGAGAGCTTCCCCCGCTGTGGCTGAAAGAAGTTCAAATTCACATGCAAAAAGAATGTTACTGTTGTCACTTCAGAGCTTTTTATTTGTCACTGTGAATGTGAGAATGCTGTATCTTTTCTTGCAAAAGATATTAATACATCTAGGTGCTGGCATTGAATTCAGGTGAGTCCTGCTCCAAAAGCCTAATAAATAACCATCACTACAGATGGCACTTTGGATCATCGACAATTTCATTATGAAACATTTACGCTTTGTTTAAGCAATAAAATTGCATAACCTGTACAATCATTGCTTATGCTGAATATTCTGTCAAATTGCAGGAGAATGAAGTGTACAGGAGCCACCAGTATTTGTGCTGTTTCTGGTTATAGCTCTGTTTTGCAAGTTCCTAATATTCTGACTGCAGTGAGCTTAATTTGCTAAAATTCTTTGTTCCCACTCATGTCATCTGTTGTTTCTTTGCATTGTTCAAGTCTGAAACAGTATTTATCCATAGGCTAAATGTCTACAGGGCTAGGGAAAAACAAGTCTCCTTTCAAGTTGCAGTTGACTTCAATAAAACTGGTGACACAAGTCACGCAAGTGATAATGAGGTTGTATCGGTCCTTGAGTCCCTTCACCCCAAGAAAGTGTCACACTGATTTCTAGAAAGCAACAGCTACAAACTGTCCCATTAAGGTAAAGAATGTAATTTCAAAACTATTTCAAATTAGCTTATTCCTGAAGATGATTTGGCAGCAGCTAGCAAAACCATGTGACTTTTGCTCTGTGGAAAACCCATCTTGGATAGTTATTTGAGGACTGTTTAAGTTGTTCCCTCACTAGTTTACTATTTTTGCTCCCTGCAATGTATAGCCTCCACCAACATCCCACCCTCGCTGCCTTAATTAGCTCAGCATCAGGGCAGTGCTGTAGCAACATAAACAGCTGTACTGGGAAGGCTGTAACTTACTATGAGGGATGGTAACTGAATGCTGGCAGTGAAAGGAGATGCACAAGAAAGATGAAACAGGTTTCCAGAGCTATTTGAATACTTCAGTATCTTTAATACAAGTTTTTTTTAGTATTGTGGTGACTGTGCAGCAGGTTTAGGGGCAGGAAAGGTGACTTGTGTCATAGATGTTTCCCAGATGGATCATAGAATATCTCAAGTTGGAAGGGACCTGTAAGGATCAAGTCCAACTCCCTGCTCCTCGCAGGACTACCTAAAACTAAATCGTATGACTATGCTCCTTGAACTCTGTCAGGCTCGGTGCTGTGACCACTTCCTTGAGAAGCCTGTTCCAGTGACCCACCACACTCTTAGTGAAGAACCTTTTCCTAATGCCTGATCTGAACGTTCTCTAATGCAGCTTCATTCCATTTCCTCCTGTCCTATTACTGGTATCCAGAAAGAGATCAGCACCTCCCCCCTGCCACCCCTCTTGAGAAAGTTGTAGACTGTGATGAGGTCACCCCTCAGCTTTCTTTTCTCCAAGCTGAACAAACCAAGTGACCTCAGCCACTCCTCCTAAATCTTGCCCTCGAGGCCTTTCACCATCTTGGTTGCCCTCCACTGGACACAATCTAATAGTTTGATGTCCTTCTTATATTGAGGCACCCAGAACCGCACATAGTACTTGAGGTGGGACAGTGCCAGTGCAGCAATCACCTCCCTTGACTAGCTAGATGTGCTGTGCTTGATGCACCCCAGGACACAGTTGGCCCTTTTGGCTGCCAGGGTACACTGCTGACTCATACTCAACTTGCCATCAACCCAGACTCCCAGATCGCTTTCCACAGGGCTCCTCACCAGCCTCTTGTCCCCAGTTTGTATGTATGACCAGGATTACCTCATCCCAGGTGGGGAATCCAGCACTTGCTCTTGTTAAATTTCATAGGGTTGGTGATTGCCCAGCTCTCTATCCAGATCTCTCTGTAAGGCCTCTCTACCCTTGAGGGAATCCCCAGCTTCTCCTAGTTTAGAGTAACTGGCAAACTTACTTAATATACATTTGATTCCTGCATCCAGATCATTTATAAAAACACTAAGAAACATTGGCCCTGAAATCGAGCCCTGGGGAACCCCACTGGTGACTGGCTGCCAGCCTGATGTAACCCCATTTACTCTAACTTTCAGCCCAACACATCAGCCAATTGTTCAGACAGTGTATTAGGGACTTGTCTAGCTGTGTGCTGGACATTTGGACCAGAAGGATGCTGTGAGAGACAGTATCAAAAGCTTTGCTAGAATCCAAAAAACCCACACGTGTTGGCTTCCCTGGGTCAACTAGATGGGTGACCCTGTCATAAAAGGAATAAGTTAGTTAAGCAGGACTTTCCCCTCATGAACCTGTGATGAAAAGAGAGTGAGCTTTGCAGAATAGGGATCCAGCTACTGGAGGGAAGTGTCAGAGAGCAGCAAGACTTCAGGAAACAGAAACAAAAATGGTGACTCTTCCTTCCCTAGTTTTGCATCCTCTCAGAACCCACTTTTCTTCCCCAGCTCCCATGGGGATACAGGACCCCCATACTCCATCCACCTCTTTCTAGAATCACCAGTTGTCCTGGTTTTGGCTGGGATAGAGTTAAGTTTCTTCCCAGTAGCTGGTATAGTGCTACGTTTTGAATTTAGTATGAGAAGAATGTTGCTAACACACTGATGTTTTAGTTGTTGCTAAGTAGTGCTTAAGATTAGTCCAGACTTTTCAGCTTCCCATGCTCCCCCAGGTGCACAAGAAGCTGGGAAGGGGGGACAGCCAGGACAGCTGACCCAAACTGGCCACAGAGGTATTCCATACCATATGACATCCTGCACGGTATCTAAACTGGGGGGAGTTGGCCAGAAGACAGTGATTGCTGCTTGGGGATGCGCTGGGCATTGGTCAGCAGTAATTACATTGTGCATCATATATTCTGTATATTCTCTTACCATTATTGTTATTCTTTTCCTCTGCTGTTTCATTAAACTGTCTTTATCTCAACCCACAGCTTCTACCTTTTTTCCAATTCCCCTCCCCCTCCCACTGAGGGGGGGGGCAGTGAGGGAGCAGCTGTGTGGTGTTCAGCCGCCTGCCAGGTTAAACCACACCACCAGTTCTACCAGACAAAAAGCAATACCACCACTATTCACTGCCTACTCCTCTGCAGCCACTGAAGAGAAGCTAGGAAGAGAACAACAGAAAGCAGCAAACGGCTAAAGTTAGGCTTGTTCCTAAGGAAGAACTGGGACAAGAGAGCTCAATGAATGCTGGCAAAAGGAGTTGTCCTGAACACAGCTGATCTCTGGTCTCCTTAAAAGAAAAAAGGTGCCCAAACTGTAGCAAGAAAGTCTCTACCCATAATGTAGTGTAATCCACTTTACCCTAGACAGCTGCTACTCCCAATGTTTCAAGTATCTTAATAACAAGTTGTTCACTTGCCATGGGATTTAATATGCAGTATGTGGAAGCTATAGGTGGTCTTAGGAAAGAGGTCTGAGGTAGGTGGAAACAAGTCCACAGAACAGTAGCTTCTAACAGAGTGTATGGCAAGGGATGACACCATAATGCAACATGGCACAGTGGCTATTTCAGGATCCCCATTGCCCTGGGATATGCAATGCTGTTGCTTCTCTCCAGGAAGGCCGATTTGTTTGGTGGTTCATTTTATGTGCTCACTGGGTGAAGTTTTTCGGTCCTTGAACTTAAGTCTGAATCAGACTTTCAGTCCTTTGGCTTTAGCATTTATTTTCTTACTTGGTAAGAGGCAAGATCACCACCCAAAAAAGAATTTTGTGAGCTAATGCTATTAGCCAGACCTACCTAGGTCTGCATGTGTTACACAGTACCAAAGTTTCTCTATTCCTGTAATAGCAGGAAAGAAATTAATACAAAAAGCTCTATTACAAAGTGGTTTATTGTGATCAAAGTTCAGCTGTCAACATGTAGAAGGCTGCATTATGGCTTTCCTTGGATCTGTTCTGTGAGTGCAAGTCTTACTTCCAGGCCTATCTACTTTGACTGTTTCTACAGACATTTTATAAACTAAATTTCATCCATTTAGGGCACATAATCCTGCAACTTATCTCCATATCTAGCATATAACACAGAAGTGGAAGAGTTAGTTCTGTTAATAATATTCCAAAAATGCAAAAGCATTTTCTGTAAAATTTAAGTAATTAATGGCTTTTTCCATGAAATGGGAAAGTACTCAGCAGTTCTGAGCCACAGCAACTATAAAATTTCAGTCTTTTAAAAAAAACCCACCAAAAAAACCAACCCACAAACCAGCAAGCAGAAATTCCAAGAACCAGACAGAAAGGTTGTAAACCCACCCCCACCCCAACTCTTTCTACTATTACACAGGCAGAACAAGGAAAAGTCTTTCTTTGCCCCCTAAAATTCTTACCTGTGAACAAGGGTCATAGATTTCCAAGTGTATCTGCTTCCCATCCAGGCATAAGTGTTTAGTGTAGATGCATTCTAAAAGAAAACCAGCATTAGAGTGACTCGAGATGGTGGTAAAAAGAAAAGGTGACAAAAGTGAGATTTGCTACTATGTCCCTCAGGACATTTAGTTCCTTGGGTACTGTTTGGTTTTGGGTTTTTTGTGTTTGGTTGTCTTGGGTTTTAGATTTGTTGGTGGGTTTTTTGTTTTGTTTTGTTTTTTTTGACACACACTGGAAACCTATTTCCTTTTGCAACACCTGAGCTGTCCAATCCCTTAGACAGACCAACACCTTTTCACTGTGGTGTTCCCGTGGAAGTGTTGGTGCAACAAATACTTTTAGATCCTAGTTTTCCTCTTCCAAAATGGAGGCAAAGGGGATGCACAATGCTCAGAATCAGCTAAATGCTGATAACTATGCAGCTTGCTATCAAGGTTCTGGACTGTGATAGTAGTAAGCCAGCCTATGGGCAAGTTCTGATTCTGCACAAAAGTAATTATTTGGTAATAATGTTTATTTACTATTAAATCTGGTGCTTTAAGAGTTCTCATGCTAGGTAGCATTAGATCAATAGTATTTACAGGATCATGTCCCTAACCTTAAAATATTTCTGTAGTGTCAGTTCTCTGATTCAGGACTCACCACTAGCAACCCTGGCAACTCTAGTGCAGGCAGACCATCACTATTATTTTAAGCAGTAGGTTGTTTTAAGCAAGTGTAAATCAACTTGTGTTCATGGCACTGGTCACCAACAAGCTGCCTGCAGTATAATTCCTCAGAGTGACTGAGCTGCAAAGACAAGAACTGGCATTGGCACTACTGAAAATACACTTCAAAATGCGTGTAATGAGGGCGTAGATAAGGGCTATGGTCTCTGGAGCTGAGGATCTTCAGTTCAGCACCATGTTCATCTTAAGCATTCTTCATGCATGTCTTAGGAGTTCATTTGATGATGAACTATCAGTCTCAAGCATCCCAGCATATTGATCTGCAGCCCCTTGGTGGTTTCCACAATTAAACAAGTATTTAATTAATACTTTGGCTCCACTAAAAGTGTTCTACGATGATCTTGTATTTCATCACTCCTACTCCCACTTTTCTCCTCCTTCCTCTTGCCTAGAAATAGAGCTAAACTTCCCTTCCAACAAACACTTGTTTAAAAACAAAAACATTTTGGGAGTTTGACATGCCTTTTCTGATACTTGCGGTATTGGAGGGTCAGAACAAGGAAACCTGTTTTTAGTTGTAGGTGGCTTAGAACACACATGGAACAGCTTAGACTTAGATAAGCCATCTGGGACACACAAACTGTCTTTCCAGTCTGTGTTTGTGTAGTAACAACATTAGTAGAGCATTTACATACAACTATACTTTCAGAATAAGTTCATCTGGAATACATTCAGTGCAATTCACCTTAGTGCTGCTATTATTTTTTTTTTTATTTATGGATCATGGAACACTGACTCTTGTAAAGAAAGGCTTTTGGAAAAATTATTTCACTTTAGCAGGGAAAGTGAGGTAGACAGCAATCTCCTTTCCTTGCTAAGTTTTGATACTTCTTGTGCCCCATCAGCTGGCGTGGCACACTTCTAAAGGTGTTCGCATATCAGCTAAAGAGTTTCTGTCCAGGACGCAAAAGTTCAAGTCCTGCTTTGCCATCTTCCAAGATCTTAGAAGTGTCTTAAGGATCAGTGTATTTGTTCTGGCATGAACAAAAAAGTCTATCCTCAGCACGGTGAAGCTTTCCATAAAGCCATCAAATCAGTGCTTTTGAGCAAAAGCAGGGGGCTTTGCATTATGCTTTGATTAACCAGTAGCACCTGATAAACAATCTGTTTCACCTCTCCTCTACGGCTGAGAAGGAGATATTCAATAGAACAGGTGTTGGTGGGTTTATTTTTTTCCAGTCTATTTCTTTACTCTCTTCTTTATCTCCTCTCTGATTGAGCTTACTATAATCTACCCACGCTCCGCACGCACAGCCCGGTTATCTTTCCTTCTTAAGTCCCTTCACAGTTGCTTTGCGACGAGCACTTCGGCAGCCCCCGTGCCCAGCCGCGCTACTGGGGTTTTGGGTGATCTCTCCACAGATACCTGGCTTGCCTTTTCCCTTCTTCAAAGCTTATACTTAATCAGGAAACTCTCGCTGATAAGCAAGCGGAAACTTAAATCTTCCCGAAAAGTTCTGTGAAACTGAGTTTCGTCCCAATTTCTTGCTCAAAGAAGCGCCTGAAGCGTCGCATCTGGCGTCCCCCCGGGGAACCCACCCCGCGCAGCCCCACAGTGGAGGCCTCACACGGCGC